GTGATGAGAGCCCATAAAGGTGTCTTCTGTGATGTTCACGAGGTGACTTTTGGAAAGTACCTAAGGATGGGGAGTGGTTGCCAGGGGAACCAACCTTGTGATTAGAGAGTTAGAACTTTCAGTCCTACCTCCTGACCTCCGGGGAGGGGAGAGGGCCTGGAGGTTGAATTGATTGCCAATAACCAATGATTTAATCAATCATGCCTTTGTAATGAAACCTCCAGAGAAACCCAAAAGGATGGGGTTTGGAGAGTTTGGGGAGAGTCACACACTCAGAGGACATGGAAGCTGTGCACCCCTCCCCCCACCTTGCCCTGTGCACCTTTAACTCCCCGCTGGCGGAGCGGGGCAGCTGCGCAGGAATCTCTGGGGGAGGGAACCTTTGCATGGAAAGGATGGGCTATGAAGGGGCAGGTTGTGAATATGAAAAGGGGATGGACGGAACATCTGCGCCAGACAAGGGTATCTAGGAAATGATGTGAGTTCCAGAATCACAAAAGGACAATAACTACAACGTGGGAAAGTGGCTTAGGCCAGTGGTTCTCAACCTTGGCTGCACATTAGAATTACCTGGGAATCTTTTTAAAATCCTGATTTCTGGGCCTCATCCTCTGGAAATCCTGTTTCTTTGTTACTAATGTTGTGGCCTCACCCCATAACGAAGAAACAGAATTTCTGTAGGATGAGGCCCAGAAATCAGATACAGAACACCAGTGCTTCTCAAACTTGAAAATGCACGTGATTCTGTACATTAACCGAATTCACCTAAAGTCCAGGTTCTGGTGCAGCAGGGCTGAGTGAGGAGGTGGAAATTCTGCATTTCCAACAGCTCCTGGGAGCTGCTGCGGGTCCTGCGGACCACACTCAGCAGCAAGGATGCAGACCAGTGATGTTTCACGAATGATGACACTGTTTAGTTTAGCGTTCTTCTTCCCTGAATTTATATTTATTTTCTAGTTAACTTGGGACAAATACTAAAATCAATGGACAAGTGTTGTTTCGTGTTATGAAAAAATGTATTTTAAAAAGAGAAAAAGGGTGAGCTAAACCAAGATGCCATGGGAAACAGAAGAAGACTGTGAGGATGAGACAATATGAAATTCAAGCACAGGAGGGAGCGTGCACACCGAGGAAGAGGTGGGGCAGCAAGAGGAGGGCGAGGGGGGCATCCTGACCAGCCTGTAAGAGGATCTGGGGCCAGTGGACCTGGGGCACGAGGATTGCTGGAATCTGGGGTATAAATAGAGATGTTCCACATGGGAACATAACCAAAAGGAGGGCAGTGATGAGACAGGTGCAGACCTGAGCTGCCCAGGTGTAGATGGCCCTGCCAGGTGCACACGGGAGTCCCGCTGGGCCCTTACAACCTCAGGAACTAAAGGACTTGAAAGAAGGGCCGGAGCTGCCCTTGCAGTTGAAGGACATTCTCTATGAGGAACAAGGCATGCAATCCGGACACAACAGAGAGCTAATGGGAAAATTTGGACGGACAGGTCACAGGTTATGCCGGAACCCAGAACACAGTAGAGTTGGACGACTCCCAGGAATGTAGGAGTGAGGGAGTCTCAAGGCCATGGCTTGGCTGGACAAATCTGGGCGCCCATCTCATTGAGCTTGGGCAGAATGTGTGCCCCGGGAATGCATGGAGAACGAGCACTTGTTGTCTACAAAGAATCCAGCCCAACCACAGCCCCCAGAAGGCACTTACCACCTCTGAATGACCGCAGAAGTGGCAGCAAAGAGTGATCAGAGCCCTGTTGTTTGGCACAGAACACTGAGTGACCAGCCAGACTTCACAAGGCACCATTGATGGGGATGAAGTTCAGGTGTTCCTGATTCCTTAACCAACGCCCAGGGCTGGTCTCTGACCTCAGGGAACGGAGCAGGTGGCAGATACTATTTGTTATCAGCCCCTCTTCGTTGCTTGGCAACACTAAAGCTAATTCAGCTATCAAAATCATAAAGTGGTGTTTACACGCCATCACTGAGTTAACACAGGCGTCACCAACAAAACGTGGCCAGGAGCTAGGCTCCATCCAGATAGCAGTGTGCCCCCTGCTGGACATGAGAGCAACTGGGATAAACAGAAAAAAGTCCCAAATCAGAGAGAAATCCTGGCTACTTCCAAGACCCCCACACAATGAGAAGACACAGAAACTTACAGAACAGCCCACGGATATAGGGTTTATCATCTCCAGGCGCCCATAGTATTTAACAATTCCTGGGGAGCGTGGGGTGGGGGACTAGCTGCCACTTAGGACACCCCTTTCCCTCCACCACTAGAGGGCTTTCCCCATGTCCACTTCCCTCTCTGGGTCACTCTTCCCTTCACTGAGAAGTAGGAAGCATTGTCTGGTAAAAAAAAATTTGGAAAGCTGTTTGACCAAAGCAGGTCCGAGTCACTGGCTCATTCTATGAGAGCCTGTCAGGGCCGAGAGGCCCCAGGGGGACAGGGCAGGTGGCTGCTCTCCCCTCCTGCTCCCTGGCTCCCCCCAGAGTTGCTGCAGCTCCACACTCCTCGCCCTCTTGCTCATTCACTCTTTGCCATCTGATGGGACTATATTCCAATACGTTACTTGCAAATGTGATGCAACTCTGTTGTGATCTTCTCCCTTGCTTAAATTATTCTTTATGTTATTTACGCCTCTCTGTTTTTAATACTTCTAATGTCTTAGGACAAGGCCCGCAGGCTTGTGGTGTAGTCACTACTGTGAGCCCCACAACCATCTCTTCTAAAGACTATGCCCGTTAGTGCTAGTGTTGCAGCGTTCGGCGAAACAAGTCTCAGATATCTTACATGTTTTACCTGACGGCTCAGCCTCCGTTTTCCATACTGAAAAGTCCTAGGCCTTCTCTGGTGTATTCTTGGGTGCAAACCACTCCTCTCTCTGATCAGTTTAAGGACGCTCTAAGTTCTACCAAAGTACTGACTCTGATAAGGGGGCCAGGGAATCCCTGATTTACAGCTTGTTGGTCATGAGTCCCGGAGGCCTGGATGCGGGATTGGTGTCTGAGTGGGGGCAGTTTTGTGAGACTGAACCCTTCACCTGCGAGGTCTGAGTGGTGTCAGAACTGCTCGATGTGAGGAAAACCCACGAATCTGATGTTAGAAGTGTCGTGAGTAAAAATCCGTTCATAGTAACACAGAACACCATTTGGTGTGTGATGACTCGGTCCATCGTAACGAATATCGGCACTTAAAGTTGTTTCATGATGCCCTTAGGAACTGCTGAAGACCACAGGGTCATTTATTCTACCACACAGTGGCCACAGGTTGCTACTTTTTAAAAGAAGATAATCATTAATTCTGTGGGTTCCTCCCTCTCTGTTCAGTATGGCTCTAAATATAGTTGCTTTGGAAGTACTTCTCGTCTTCCTCTTAGGCTGTCTACTGTAACCTCTGCTAGTCTGCAGTCGGGGTAAATCGGATGACCATAGTCACCAGTAATCCTAGATGGATATTTAACCCCAAATCTCAAGAGTCTGGCCTTCACCTGGCTCCACGCTGAGTACACCAAGAGTGTGTACTCAGGACTGAATTTGTTTTATTTTACTTAATGTATTATTCATGTTCAGAAAAGGTACATAATGAAACTTACTAAAAGAAAGTTTACGAGCAAAGAAAATATCATTGAGGTATACCACTGGGGAACAAATATGGGACTGTTACACATGTTAGATAAAACCGTGTCTACTTTTGGTCTAAGTAAACTTAGAATATGGACTGTTGGCATGTTTACCTATAGAATAAAGGACAAAGCGGCCCTAAAATGAAGCACTGAGTGTTGTTATTCCTATTCCATCCTACACCCCAGAGTATATTTCATAATTTTGAGGGTGATTCAATTTGTCAGGTTTTCATATAAGAAAATGTCAGTGAAAGTGATTCTAAATTCATCACAACTGCTTTTTCTGTTTTCAAAGAACTAAATTAGGTGTGACACGCGCCACGCATGCACACAGCCAGCTACCACCGTCCTACCCTCTGTGCTTCGGGGAGCGCGAACATCAACAAGCAGATGCTCCAGCTACGCCTGTCCTGGAGTCTCTACCCCACCATGTTCTTCCTCCCTGCTGTCTGTCCTCCTCACTGCAGTCCGGCTTGATTTTCTTGTCCAAACTGCCTTCCTGCTCTAAGACCTGCTAGTTCCACGACAGAAATGGCTCAGTCTATACTCTCCGGCTGGCCATTTTCTTGTCCAAACTGCCTTCCTGCTCTAAGACCTGCTAGTTCCACGACAGAAATGGCTCAGTCTATACTCTCCGGCTGGCCATCCAAACCCCCAACAGCTCGGTCCCCTGTACTCTGCCAACCTCGTCCTCCACTCGCCACCTTCCTCTTTCTCTATCCCAGTGGTTCTCAACCTTGGCTGCACGTGAGAATCACCTGAGAATCTTTTTAAAATCCTGATTTCTGGGTCTCATCCTCCGGAAATTCTGTTTCTTTGTTACTAATGTTGTGGTCCCACCCCATAACAAAGAAACAGAATTTCCAGAGGATGAGGCCCAGAAATCAGGATTTTAAAAAGATTCCCAGGTGATGCTAATGTGCAGCCAAGGTTGAGAGCCACTGCTCTATCCTCAGCCACATCCACTTAGATGCTGCCCAGGGAATACCATGGCCCAGGCTGCCCCGAAACCTTTAAGTTGTCCCTTCCTCCTTCTTCCTCCATACCTACCAAAGTCTCCCAACACCTCCAAACCATTCCCCTCCCAGATGCAGAGATGCTATTCTCCTTGGGTGTGGCCCCTCCCTGCCTGCCTCACATCTCACACTTAATTCACTGTAGTCACACTCCCAGCCAGGCTACTGAGGGAGGTGTTTATCTCCTCACCAGCTCTCAGTCCCTGCAGAGCACGTTGCCTTCCACACACCTCCCAGCACAGGGGCTGAGGGAACAGCAGATCTGGACTGAGGAGTGGGAAGGAGACAGCCATCCTGCTTGCTGACAACCCCGCCAGGCCCGCCCACACGGAACGGGCCCCTTCTGCATACTCACGGTTTCCGCAGTTGAGACCACCAAGGCCAAATGGGCAACTGCAAGTCAACAAAGAACAAGAATGAATCTCAAATCTCAAAAGAAATCATTGCAGCAATTTACTAAGTAGTTTCTAAGTAAGGTTTGCAACAAACGCATCAGAATAAGTGAACCGGGAGCTTACCTCATGCAGGTTTCGTTTTCAAGCCTGTATCCGTCTTCACACGCTGAAAGAGAAAAGGACAGTTTGTGAAGGTGACCACTTCCCTTGGCCCAAATTGGCAGTTCATTAAACACTAGCCAACCTAAAGTCCACAAGAATATTCTAGAACCAGGAGGCCACCAATGGCTTTAGGATTATCTATTTATCTGGGCTAAACAATGTTGTCAGCTCAACTCATAATTTTACCAAGAAAAAAAATTAACCTCTTTGTGATTCTCAGTTTCCCATCTATAAAGAATAAGTAATAATAATAATAATAATAATAATAATAATATCTACCTTATAGTTTCTTGGAGGGGATTAAGTAAAATAAGGTTTAGCACAGTGCTTGACACATAGCAACCACTAAATAAATGTTTTACATTATTTTGCAACAAATGCCATGCTCTCTGGAAGTTCTCTGTGGCCCCCGGGCAGCATCACACATACAGACTAATGCTTCACCTTCGCTAGGTCAGACCTTTAACCCGCTGCTGGTCCCACAGCCCCCACAAGGTGGTGGTGGCATCCTCTGGCCTGTGGTCCTAGGGGGCGCCTGTTTTCGTAAAAGAAGCTTATCATCTGTGCAGGGGATATAGAGATGAACCCTAACTGGCACGGGGCCCAAGAACATAACCTTGAGCCCTCTGGTGGTGCGGCTCAGGGCCCACTGCTTCCTGAAGGGCTGTGTGTGGCCCAGCCATCCCCCTGAGTCAGCAGTTGCTGAATTTATTGGATCACAGAACACCTACAACACTCCAGTCAGCTAAGCGAACGCCCTGAGCTACAACACAGGTTTGGGTGAAAGCGGACAATAAAAAATGGCCCCCTCGACAAATCTGTTGCTGCAAGGAATGATAAACATTTGATTCATGATTAATGTCTGGTACACACTGCATACAACAATCGTGGGTGAGCACAGGTACACGGTATAGAGCAGTGATCCCCGGACAGACAGCACACACGCTAACAGTGGGACGTGATACCCACAGCCTGCACGGCTGGGAAAGGGGAGGGGCCGCCCTACAGGCTGCGGCCAGAGATCTAGACTCCCCACACCCTCCCTTACGGATTAATGCAAAATAATGTTAACTACATAGATGTGCTTAATAGTGTTCTTCCCTCTATTTTTTCATGTTAGATGTTAAAGGTCGCTAGCATCTACTTGTTGTCATAGACCACAGACATGACTGGAGTTTTGAGGGGCGGACTGGCAAACACTGTTTGAACCACCTCTAATTCTCTCTCAGCGGATCCTGAGAGCTGTGGACCTGGACCGCATGGCGTTGACTCCATGGAATCGCTTTTCCTGATCCACATCCTCTTGCATTCAGGGCTCCCTGGTGTGAGCAGCAGCCCAGCAGGCCCGACGGTAGTTACTGTGGGGTGTCATGGACTGCATCGCGCTGCCACGATACTGCTCAGTCACCTCCTGAGGAGGACGCCCAGCCCTTCTCTAGCCTTTGGAGTCTGGAAAGACGGGGTGCTCCTCAAGCTGTGCTGTGTTTTACGGTCCCCTCCTGTTTTCAGAATCAGGCTTCTCTGCCTCAGTGTCCAGGACGCTCAGAACGTGGACGAGTGGCCTGCCTCTAGCAAGCCTGCAGGACCGGATGGTCTGTCTTTCTGCACAGTCACTTTCCTTCCAGCCTCAACAGAGCAGTCGTTTTATTCCTCCTTCAACCCGATTTACCTTTTAAGTGAAATCTCATTTTGTTACATGAATTTTCATTTCTGTGCTTCAGTTCCTTTTGGCAACAAGGTCTAGCATAATCGCATCCCATGAAGGAAGAGGGGACGGGGCCCCTCCCCTAACCCTGTGACACCTTCGAGCTCTCCGTGCCCCATCTCACGTGGGGCCTTCCCTAAGGAACAAGCCGAGCATGCCTGCCTCTGGGCCGTGGGAAGCAGCACGCGTGGCAGTCCTCGTGCTATGGCCAGTCACGGATGGGAAGCTGCCCCTGGAGGCCACGGCTCTGCCCCCAGTGACAGCCCCACCCAGCGCGGCACCAAGGCCCGCTGCCATCACACCAGTCAGTCCTATGTAAACACCTCTTCCTGGAAGTGCTTTCACATGGGATCTACCCCCCCAGCCCTCATCTGCTGGGTGGGAGCTTCCAGGCCATGACTGTCAGCTGGGCACACGTAACGCCCATCTGTGGCGCGGCCTGCGTGCGGGCTGCTGGGCTGGGCTGTTTTCACGTAGCTTCGGAAGTATCCTGACTCCAGACATGATGATGTTTCTTTATTCGAATGGGCTCATTTGGTCATTCATCGAAGACTGAGGCGACCGTGGGCACGGTGCTGTTCTAGGCACTGCAGCGTGCCTCATGGCCACCCCCAAGGAGCTCTGACCCACGGAGCACTGAGGATGAAATGAACGTGGGACTAACTAGCATATATGTCCAATTGGGCTTCCCCGCTGATAGGGAACACAATAAAATTCAAGCCTCTGTCCTTTTAAGAAAAATAAGTGGTAGAGTCCTAAACACTCTTTTGTTCTCTTGCAGGAAACTAACTCAAGCCCTGCCAGTCTTGCCCTGTCATTTGCTGCCCTATGATCCACTGTTCACTCGACGGACATTGCTAAACCCCACAACATGCTGAGTGTGTCCCAGACACAGGCACCGCCCTCAAGGGACTTGCCGTCTGGTGAGAGAAAGAGACCTGCGAACAGGGAGCTGTAATTCATTACGAAGCCTGTATGATGGAAGGAGGCTGCAATACCTGTGGGAAGGTCACCTAGTTTAATCTTACGGCCAGTTAAAGTCTGGTAAAGGCACTGTAAAGGCATGTGAGACACTAAGTGTGTGTGTGTGGGCTTCCTGAAGGGCTGTGTGTGGCCCAGCCATCCCCCTGAGTCAGCAGTTGCTGAATTTATTGGATCACAGAACACCTACAACACTCCAGTCAGCTAAGCGAACGCCCTGAGCTACAACACAGGTTTGGGTGAAAGCGGACAATAAAAAATGGCTCCCTCGACAAATCTGTTGCTGCAAGGAATGATAAACATTTGATTCATGATTAATGTCTGGTACACACTGCATACAACAATCGTGGGTGAGCACAGGTACACGGTATAGAGCAGTGATCCCCGGACAGACAGCACACACGCTAACAGTGGGACGTGATACCCACAGCCTGCACGGCTGGGAAAGGGGAGGGGCCGCCCTACAGGCTGCGGCCAGAGATCTAGACTCCCCACACCCTCCCTTACGGATTAATGCAAAATAATGTTAACTACATAGATGTGCTTAATAGTGTTCTTCCCTTTATTTTTTCATGTTAGATGTTAAAGGTCGCTAGCATCTACTTGTTGTCATAGACCACAGACATGACTGGAGCTTTGAGGGGAGGAC